TTTTGATTATTTGAGATTTACGATTAATTAGTAAAATACGATATTAAAATTATAAGAGGAAAAATATATAAAAGATTTTCTCGTTTGTCAGAATTGACTTTACATTAAAAGATATATTTAAAATTTCAAATAAACATAGGAAAAACAAATTAATATAATTATTTATACAAAGTGATTTATTTATACAAAGTGATTTGATATAATTTTTTAATATAATTTTTCTTTCAACATAATAAACATGACATTTATGCGTGAAATTCTATTACAACAAAAATCTGTGTATTTATTTACAATTTGCAATTTTAATTTCAGCTATAATTTTTCATCAATCAGCATAATAGAATATTAAAGCATCTTTTTAACCGTGAAACCGGTTTTTCGCAGACCACGGGCAAGTGACGCAGAGTCAGCAGTTTTTCATCGACTGTGAGAAAGTGTACATCGAGTCGAGGTTATTTTCGTGCAGTCGTTGAGATAGCGAGAGATACGCCGATAGAAAACTGACAATGTTGTGTTCTTGTTGCGTGGCGATGATCGCCATCCTCTACATTCTATTTGACGTAAATTACTTTATGAGAATTATTCTCACCATTATTTGGGGCAGATTTTTCGAGAAGAAGAAGAAACTCTTCGATACGACAACAGTTTATGGTAAATTCTTAGATCAATTATATCGTGCATTCAATAAATTGTCCTTATTTGTAAATTAATAATTAATTTGCTTGTATGAAATCTGTACACCGAATTAGTTTGTGTGCCTTATCAGATGAAGCATTTTAATTGCAAAGACTTTGAAAAGTGATAACATAAGTGAAAGAACAAAATATTGCGCAAGAAGAAATGACTATATTTGTGATGTTATCAATATAAGCATGACAGGAAGTAAAATTATGAAAAATGAAATAATTTTTAGTGTACATAAAGCGAGATATAAGTCATGCAAAATCATAATATTATTATTATATCTGCATCAAAAGTTGAAAATAAAACTTACATTTTTAGATATTTTACATGTCTTGAAGCACAAAATTTTGTATATATATCTTTATTGCAACATATCTAAAAATGCAAGTTTTATTTTGCAGTAAAAATATATACAAAATTTTGTACATATTTTTATTGCAAAATATCTAAAAATTTTATTCTCAGCCTTTTGATGCAGATTTTAACATTTGATACGTATGCAATTTTGTTCGACAAATATAAGTTCATAATATGCATACATGCATACACGTTTATTATAATTGGTGCACTTTCTTATAACATTGATGTATAATGTTTTTATGTTTTATTTAGCTGCATTATCATGTGAACGTATTTACATTATGTAGATCGGCAAATAATTGTATAGAATGGTGCCGCAATACGTATTTCTTCACTCTGTAGAACATCGTATTTATTTTTAGAAAGACTTTTAAGTTATACTTTTAAGTTAAGTTATAGACTTTTAGAGTTATATATACATAGATTTATGTTTCTTGATAATTGTTTAAATTTCATGACTTTTTTATGAAACTTCTTTCCTCTGGAGATAATTTTTTGTAGAAGTTTTCATAATTCTTTAGAATGTTTTTAAATACAAATTTTAGAATGTTTGTACAATTCTCTATTTAAAAAACAAATTTCTTAAGTTTTTTATACGGACGTTTTTCAAAATTGCTGAAAGTCTACGTCTTTCCTATATAATTCTTTATAAAATAAATTCTGAAAGAGATTGTATAAGATTTCCAACATTTCTCCTTCTATAATTTTTCTAAAAGTTTATAAAATCTGAAGAAATTTGAGGTATTTTTCTTTCAGAAATCTGCATAAAATATGAAAAATTTTTAAGAATGTTATGAAAATTTTTACTGAAGATAAAATTTATTTAAGATAGATAAATGTGATTAATTATTAAAAATAGAAATATTCAAACGATAAATACTTATACAAGATATAGACATATGTATATAAGTATAGTATACAATATTTCACCAGGAAAAAATATTTCATATATACACATAATTATATAAAATTATACATATAAGATT